ACCGAAGAACCGAAAGAGATGCTGGTATAATATGGGGTCTCCCCCTCCAGCAGGATCAAAAAAGGTTGTATTAAAGTTTCGATCAGTTAATAACATGGTAATTGCCCCTGCCAGTACCGGAAGTGATAATAAAAGTGGGAATGCTGTCACTAGAACGGACCAAACAAATAGGGGTGATCTATGCATAGTCATTCCAGGTCCACGCATGTTGGAGATAGTTGTTATAAAATTGATAGAACCTAAAATGGATGAAACACCAGATAGATGAAGACTAGAAATTGCTAAATCAACTGCTCCTCCAGAATGGCTGGTAATACCACTTAAGGGCGGATAGACCGTCCACCCAGTTCCGCTACCCACTTCTACTAAGGCTGAGCTTAATAGGAGCAAGAGACTTGGTGGCAACAACCAGAATGAAATATTATTTAATCGTGGAAATGCCATGTCAGGCGCACCTATCAGAATCGGAACAGACCAATTACCAGATCCACCTATCATCGCCGGCATAACCATAAAAAAGATCATTAAAAAGGCGTGAGCCGTTATTAAAACATTATAAAGTTGATGATTCCCACCAAGAATTTGATCGCCGGGTCGTGCTAATTCCATACGAATCAGTACTGAAAAGCATGTGCCCATCACTCCAGCAATGGCACCGAAGATGAAATATAGAGTCCCTATATCTTTGTGGTTAGTGGAGAACAGCCATCGGACCGGATTTGTCATAAAATGGAGATTCTTTCCTTTCCTTCCTTATCAGAGAGGGGCCCCCTTAGGGAAGCGGGGCTTATTTATTGAAAAAGGGGGAGTGAGGGGGGGTGAGTAAGGTCCGGAAAGCCCTCACTTTATTGATGGGACATTTGGATCCTCTTTTCCTCTCACCCATAACCCGTTCTGGTTCAGGAAAGGGTCAATGCAAGGATCTTACTTCGAAGCAATCTCTGGAGTTTTCCCTTATCCGAACGGGTCTTGCAAGAAAATAAAATTTCATATTGAGCTCCAAATATACGCTATTGGGATGGGATGGCTCCTACTAGCCCCCCCTAAGAACCGCACGTGCGAGTTACCCCGCATACGGCTCAAGTGGCGGAGGCCTTTCCTTCGCGCTTGGTAAGCGCTTCGCTGTAGCCAAGCTTCGACCGCGACTGCTCGTCGCTTCTGGCCGCCTTATTCCGTCACCCGAGATCCAAGTCAGCACCGGCAAAGATCTCTTGATTCCTCGCGGCCGGGCCGGCTTGGAAGCAAGCTACCTCTTGCCTATCTCACCCCCTTTCCCCTTTTAATAATAAGGTAAGCTTCCAAAGCTCCTTCCTTTAGCTGGGTGAGCCTTCGCTTTTTGGATCGTCTTCTGCCCAATGCGGTACCCCCGTTTTTTGGTTCCCATTGGGTTTACCTTGTTCACAGGTCGACCCCATGGCAGCAAGAAAAGGCGATCTTGTGCTATACTCCGGTGATCTCTTTCCTACCGAGGCACGCAAACTCCCATCGTGTCCCAGATCACATTCCGTGAATCGAAAGGGGAAGCCTACTCATCTATCAGCTCCTCTCGTAGATCGGTGCGGTTTTACGAAGCGTCTAAGCACAGTTCACTCACGTTGATCAATCAAGAGGTTTGCCGCCACTCCTTAAGGTTACGTATCATAGACTTCTTGTATTCTTTCCCACGCTTCATACCTCCTCTTTCTTCTTAAGGTAAGGTAAAGGGCCAGGCATGGTGGGGTAGGAGCATCCAGTCGGCAATCTTTTTGGCTTGACCAAGAAGTCTTATGTCCTCCGAGTCGCACGGCGTTTTAACCGAAAGAACTTCTTGCGCAATTCATGCCTTTCTGTTTTTATGATAAAAAATTGTTTATTGATTTTCATTTCAAATTGTTCTCTGGACTTTTTATCAATATGAGGTGATCTTAACACAGTATATAAGACTCGTGATTCAGGCAATCCAATCTGCCTTGTGTAAGGCGGAAGCCCCCAAAAATGGTTTTCCAAAAATGGGTGATCAAAAGATTTCATTACTATGCCTATCTTGGTGGTCGTTACTTTTGGTGTCTTTTTGGCTGACTCCTCTTCTTGTTCTATTGATTAGAAGCAGCCAGCAGCGCCACGCCGCTTTAGAATTCGATTCTAAGGGCTAAGGCGTCCCCCGCCCTTTTAGCTTTCAATGTATCCCTGGATTTCACGCCAGATCTGACTTCGAGGGTTTCCGACACATTCAAACCTTGAGATGATTGAATCTCTGTTTATTTGAGTCGAAGCGGTGCATGTCGGAGAAGTAGACGTTAATCCCTCTTCGAATATCTTCTTCCCCCGTTATGTTCAGGGTAAGGTTTCCCTCCAACTAGTTTGAAAGATCTCAAAAATGGCGGCCACCTTTTGTTCGCAGATCGCGAAATGGCGATCTGTTGACTGCCACTCCTTGGACGAAAGGAGGTTTTGCCACTCATTTTGTTCAGCGTCTGCTGCAGCCCAAATGGCATCCTGCGAGACCTCCTCTTCTTCTTCTTCGTCTAGTCCCCTTCCTGAAGAATTTCATATTGAGCGGATTAGCACACCCGATAGAGCCACTAAGTTGTTGAAGGATTCCGCCTGGAAACGGGATGGGATTCTATCAGCCGAACTCAAAGAAACTTCGAAGCTGGGCTGAAACCTTTTCCCCCTATGCCAGGTTGCCATCCTGAGGAGAAAGAGCGGCGTAGACAGAAAAGGAGTTTGTAAACCTCCCCTCCATCAACGGAACTAGAAACAAGAAAAAAATATGCAGTCTCGCATACAGTTAGAAACAGTCTCGAAAAGACCTCGACTCAAGGTTCAATTTTGTTTTACCGGGTAGGTCAAACCGAGACGCGCGAGTTATCCCTACACTCTCAAACCGAACCCTTTTCCTAGCTGCTGTTTACCTAAGCATTCTCTAGATAAATCGGAAATAGGTTTTCAACGCCCAGAAGCTCGGGGACGGGTGAAAGTCCCCTAAAAGTCCGATTGGCGAGGTCGGATGGTGATTCGCCCACCTGCCGGACCGCTTCCCCTTCAGGCGCGCTTCCATCTTGTTCTCCTGCTACGCGCACAGGACGTGGTACTGATTTCGTCAACAAAGATGCAAAACTAAAGACGACCGACCAACGACTCGACATCTCCGGCCGGGAAGAAAGAAAGATAGCGAAGGTTATCCGAGGTTCGAGCGTACCTCTACCTCTCGATCACGGGATCCTGAACCTGAGCAATCCCGGTGCCGCTTACCAGGAAAGTGCAGGACGGTCTTCCCTTTCAAACGCGTATGTCCTTGTCGAAAAGGGTGCCGAAAAGCACAAAAGACCAACTTTATACATACGCCCACAAAAGTTTATCATCTCGCTCACTTCTCGTTCTGTCCAAGCTTTCGATGTCTTTTTGTAAGTAGATTTCACCCGGGGGTTCCAATTGAGGATCGGAAGCGTCCCGTGGTTTGGTTTAATATTGACTTCCAAGGATAGTATACACACAAACCCAAAGTCTTATTTGAAAGAGTGAAAACTTCAAAAAAAGGATCCCCCCCTTCTCGTAGTTTTGACTTGACTTTAGCCTACCGGTGCCCGGCCCATAATATGAGCACCTTTGGGCGGAGCTTTCTCAATCCCAGCTAACTACTAGAAGAAAGAGATAGAAGCCAGGAAGATATCGACATAGACACTTTATATAAGCTAATAACAATAAAATAAGGCTAAAAGAAATGAATGAATGAAATCTTTTTGATCTAGAATAAAAGAACAAGGATTTATACGACCGGCCCTAGATCTATCGTTAGGATTGGAATCTTTTGCAAACCAGCTCTCAAGCCTTGCCTCTATCCCAGCGAGCAAGTCCAGCGCTGTATGAACAAGCTAACCAACTAGCCTTTGGTTGTACTATAGGAGTCACCAAGTAAGTCAGGTTATGAATCCCATGCTCTAACGCTCTAGCCTGTCAGTCTGGTTCTAGAGTAAGGAATTAAGCAAAGAGCGTTGTATGAGGCAACTATCTAATCCCTGGTCCAATAGAAGAAAGCAGAGTCAAAGGGAAAGGGACTTTCAAAGGCTATCTATCCCCATTCTACCAGCAAACCAGCTAGCAAATAGGCTCTAACCTGGAGTCAGAATAGTAGTGACCCTGGAGCTAGAGGAAGAAAGAGTAGGAAAAAGGTTGGCTCGATCGGGAAATCGCGTAAATAATAGTCGGATGAACCGAAAAGCAGTCACTCCAGAGCCGTCTTCAGAAGGATGCCAATTCAAAAATTTTCTTCAATTGAACGAAGTTAGCTGGCTTCTTCAGTCTAAAGTAAGTTCCCTACGAGCTCAGGAAAGTCATCAGTCCGGTAAGCATTTTCGTCTGGGAAAGAATATAGGACTGTAGCCAGCCATGTCGAATGGAGAAGGAGGGCAGAGAAAGGGAAGAAAAAGTAGTAAACTACCTGTCCTACCATTGGAGATCCAGAGGAAGAAGACGGAGATCGAGGAATATCTGGACTCTATGGAAGAGTACGAACAAAAGCCGAGAACTTCTCTGACCCTCCAAGAATACCTGCCGGATAAGGTATTAAACGGGGAGATAAATGAAGAAAGCATGAATAAGTATCTCCCTGAAGAAAGAGTTGATATGCTACTTGAAGAATGGGGAAAGGAAGAAGACGAGGACACTCCCACAGCAACCTGAGCAACCTGCAGGTGTATTGGAAATACACCTGGTGAAAGTCCTAGCGATAGGATCGCAGATATAGTAGCAGCCACAACTGAATTCATTCCTTCATCGTTATTGCCCTGGCTTCGATGATCAACCCCTGGCACATTTAGGTTTTGATCTTCGGCCATCCTGGTCCTCAGGACCCAACACAATATTATTCAACTATATTTTCTTTAAAAGATGGAAAAGGTGTTGATACGTCCTATCCACATAGAAAGCTTACCCTCTTCCACACATTACCGGTGGATACTAGAACCGCTATCACTTTGGCTGCAGGAGGGGAATGGTTAAGTGAAACTCTCGACGTCTTGTTTGGTAAACGGGATGTTTACCCCAGCGCCGTAGTCTTGCCTAACCGTTCGGTCGGGGATAGCAGCTCATGAACTGCCCTGCTCGAAGGATCGTAGCCCGAACTGACCTAGCTGCAGAGGAGAAGTTTGACTTCCGAGAGCGGATCCTAGCTTGGACTGATCTTTGACCCTAGCTCCAGGCGAAAGGATACGTAGGTTTTTCTTCCTTCTTCTAAATGGGATCCTCCTCACCGGAGAGTTCCCCTATTGGGCTGAAACTGGAAAGGCGCCTTAAGACAACTTACAACAGTAGAAGTCAGAACAATCAGATTCACCTACATCCTCTGATCTAGGGTCTAATAGTTAGGAATCGCGCAACTGAGAAAGAAGCATGACCAGTTGAGCTCGAAGAACAAGAAAGGGAAGCACGCTTTGGAACAATCACGGGGATTCCCGGGTCTTTCTAAGGACGGACCACATACCAACTATTCCCGGAATGGAAAGAAGAAAGGATGGTAGTGGATCACTGATGTCGAATTCACGAAAAAAAATCATATGAAAGAATCGTCAGATTATGGGTTCCGGGAATATAGACGGTTTTGAATGGAGATTGAATGAAATAGAATAGTCTGGTGGAATAGTATGATAAGGAAAGTTCGGAGCCCCCCACTTGTCGGGGTTACCAGGCTGGCTAACCTAACTATGAATTTCTATCCATGTCGGGATAGACAGAGGTCTCGGATAGTACGTGGTCGGAGTGAGACCAGGGTAGAGTAACGAACTGAAACCGAAAAGAACGATTCCTATAGCCTATAGAAGAAAGAAGAGATAAAAAACAACCAATTCCATGAAACAATATCTTATTTACTCGGATCGGTTGCTACTAGTCCGGGTTACCTCAGAGATAGAGTCATTAGGATAGAAAAAAAACAACCTAGTTCTTGCACGAAATGTCCTGCTAACATAGGGGCACTCCTACTAAGAAAAGCAAGAGCCCATTTTTGGGGGTCAAAGGGTTATTCTATTACAAAATAAGTTATGGACTCGGATATGATGCTGCTTCTTCTAATGAGAGTTCCTTGGGGATATATGAATTGGTGGACATATCCAAAACCGACCCTTTTTCTTACACAAGCATTTCTGTACTCAGATCGAGAGGTATGAAGTCCAAACCTCTTTAGTTAGACAATCAGTTATATACGATTCAACGGACATTCAACAAGATAACCCCGAAACGAGGCAACCCCGTTCACTCCGATAAGAAAGGTGTCAAGTCTGAAAGTTCAATGAGTTTGATATCCTATATCAAAGTCTCAAAGAGAGTTGGAAGGCGGAAAGAAGCACCGGCTAAGACTTTCGTGGAGATGGGGCATATAGGGCAAGTGTACTAGCATATGATTTTCCAGCTTTTGATTAAGCAGGCACTTTTTTCTTTTCACTTGAAGGATAAGGTTTTTCAAACCCTCAGCTGCTACTGATAAAGGGACGTAGCGGGTAAGGCAAGGGCAAAAGGAGTATCAGCAGTTCGAGGAAGAGTTCCATAAGGGGTTTCCCCACAAGCGTTCTATAGAAGGGTTACAAAGGAGCTAATGGGCTAAAGGGCAGACTATAAGTAGTAAGACTCACTCTAACGTGGTGGATAACGCGCTAACAATCTCTAGTTCTTATCAGTGCTTCGATGGCGATCCAGATGAGACAACCTTTGAAAGGAGGACAAACCAACCGATCTACGCTCGAACCTCCTAGAAGACCGACTGGTCAGAAATAGGTTATCCACCGACAAGAGGGCTCCACTACGAAGGGACGAGTTTCACATCTGATGAAATTGAAACAACTAATCTAATGGCATATCATATATAGTTTCATCATCTTGTAGATGTACTTAATAGATAAAAGTCTTCGAGAGAACCCAACCAAAAACCCCATTTTCAGGCACTAGGTTAGGTAGGGAGTTTTTCCTTGCTCAATAACTTGCTTTTCCCCCTTCTTTTTTTCCCATGGAGCTTTTACCTTGCCTTAGCTCTTTACCTTGCTACCTTTCATAAACTAGATGGATGGGAGAAGGAAAAGGAAGGAAACTCGGTCGCTGGACCAGCTATTTCATCTTTCATTTCTGGTCTCTTGTCTTTCCAGCAAAAGAAAATAATTTCGTCTACGAATATAAAAGTATGTTCTCACGAATCACTAATTCGAAATATCTTAAGAGAAGAAGAAAAAGCTTCTTCATTCAAGTCAGATAGTTGATCGAGAAAGCACCTTTGGGCGGTGCTTTTACGAAAGCCGGTCACCGATGGCTAAGATACGGCTATGCTTGTGAAGCGGCTTTCAATTTCCAATTTTTTTTTAGTGAGGATATCGAGATTATCTTAAGAGAGAAGGTAGCCCTTTGTCACGAGCTGGACTGGAACCAGCACCTCTGGGCAACGAGTGGGAAGGAGCCTTGACTTGAGCATTATACAAGTGCTTAAGGCTCCTTTTGGCTATGGCCACAACTATCATATAAGACAAGGCTTGGAAGCAAGCTACCAGCGCCTATCGGCGAGAACTGGGCTTGGTTAGTAGTGCCGACCCATTCTGTCTCGCCCGCCTGCCGACCCATGCATTTTTCAGAGCGGGGCGGAAGGCCGGGCGTACGGGGACCGTCGAAGAAGTGCCTCAACGCGCCGCAGCCACTACTTTTTTGACTTCTTTGATGCAATTATGAACTCCACGGAACTTTCTCAATTCCAAGGCAACAACTCCTTTTGGAGCTGAGGTAACAAACTACACGAGCCTCCCAACGAAGCCAACATAAATCCGATCCGAATAAAAAAAAGAAAAGGCAGTTTCATTATGGTGGTATACCAGCCGCCTGTTCTGGAACTTCCAGTTCCAATCAAAGCATATAGATCCGTAAATAGATTTGTATGTATAGCCACTTCAGTCGTGCTCGTCCTTTCTCGAAAGTATCTTTTTTCTGGAAACATGGTCAACCATAAATTATTATGTTCGCGATTCTTCATCCACCGATGCAGAAAATGCTCAAGTTTTCCATTCTCATATGAGGTCGGAAAGTGGATTGGCAACAGGTCGGCACGAAGTGATTCATCATGCTCAAAGATGAGCCGATCGTTCGTTAGGGACGGTTTATAGATAACCAAATTCCCACAAATGGAATGAAAAGTGGGTCCATGTAAATGATCGAGACCTCGCAAACAACAACGCTCCTTCCCCATATGGAGTTCGGAACCCAAAGGCAATCGTTGAGTGAACTCTATCTTCTTTGTGTTAGTTGACCTAAGTCGCACCCTGACTGCTGGGGTGGGGCTCGGCCTCCGAACCGTACGTGGGACGAGTTTCTGCCTCATACAGCTCGGGCCGAAGACCGGGGGAAGTTTAGGAGAGATGGGGAAAGCTAGCAGCTACCGTCGGGGCGGGGATAGCTTGCTTCTTCACAAGCTTATCCCCCACAAAAAAACCGACCCTGTTGCGCTAGCGTTTCGCGTTTTTTCTATTCCATCCCATTCCATTCCGGGGTAGGCTAATAATAAGAATCTAAGAAGTAGTCGTCGTCTGACCAATCGGCTCGGACACCAGACCGCCCGGGCCGGCCCATTTTGTCTCGCCCTAAATGGAATGGCTCTCTTAGTTACGCTGCGCCCCGACCCGAGTCCCCACGTCCGCTTTTCTCCGCCCGAAACCCAAGAAGTTGGCTTTGCCAACACAACATTAGGGCCGTCCCCTTCATTCTACTATGCTGACACCGGCCCGGGCCGGCTTTTTGGGAAGCCCGTTCCCACCGCGCTCACGGCCCGGCTGGCCTACCAGCGGTAGTGGGAATTCTCCCGTTCCCTGATCAAAGACTTGGTTGGATGCGGGATCTACTCCACGAGGAGCGATACGGACGTAGATGATATCATCACGACCTCTCTTTTCGTACCGCTAGGAATGCTTAACGCCACTTCGCCAACTGGCGTTACCTGCGCTTTCGTGTCTCTCAGTGTGGTCAGCACTGGGTGTTTCCGAGCAGCGAAGCTTACACCCATTCGCATTAGTTCATCCAAAGTTCCTTACCCTTATGCACGAATTATTGAATAAGCCATCTTCCTATCAAGGTGTTGGAGTCAACTGAGCATCTCAGCGGCGGGATTGAATACCCGGATCGAATCAGAGTTCACGCCGCCCGCCCTGAACAAATAGGAGGCGTGGGCCACAGGTCGCACATAAGCCGCCGGGTCGCACGACAGAAGAACACCCAACATAAGGATGCACACTCCTCCATGTGAAATATTCATCTTCATTGGAGCTTTTTGGTAGTCGTCGTGACCAACAGCCATCAGCTGTCGGCTCGTTGGTAAGGTGAGAGCTTCAAGCCCGATTTCTGGTGGCGCATCCCCCACACAAGCACCGCCCGGCGAAGGGGGGACGGGGAAAGCTACAGGCCGAAAAGCTTCGACCCTTCTTTCTAAATGGGGGTGCCCGGGGCACCTCATCTTCTCATTTCGTCGTTGCTCATTCCCGTTAGGCCGAAGTCTTTGGCCTTTCCTTCTCCGCGCCCGCTCACGCTCCGCTGACCTATCGCGTGGTAAAAAGAACAAAGTACGAAAGAATAGTAAACGGAGCACACCGCAGAAAGATTCTAAATATGAGTTGTCCCCCTTGGATTCGAGAAGAAGGAAATGAAGAACGGGAACGAAACGAAATAGGGCGTTTCTAGCTCTAGTTTCGGATGAGCTTCTCCCAATTCTGTCTGGTAATAGAATAGGACGGCTTGCTCTGACCAAGACTCTACTTTTTGCTCTGTCTGTGGAGCGTATGAATTTCCTTGAATGTAGATAGACCAAAAGAGGGAATGAAGGGATAGGAATAGGAATTATAGTACCATTGGAAAAAGGGGCACCTGTGGGAACATCTCTACTGACGAACCATTTCAATAGTACGGGTGCTGCCGTGCCACGAGGCACGACCATGGAAGTAATTAAAAAGAAAAAGTTATGTAATTGGACCATCTGTTCTATCCGTTAGAGTTTTGCTTCTCTAGAGAAGATGAGAGGCTAAAAATGAAAGTGTTCACAACACATACCGAAAGGATACGAATTAAGCCGACCATTAATGACTAGTTCGAAGACCTGGAGTGGTCTGATCCCTTATCAGAAATCTCTCTCCCAGCTATTGGAGAAGTTTGAAGAAGTCACTTTCTTTCATCTCAGTCGTGAGAAGAAGAAGTTTGCAGATGCTCTGCCCACTTTAGCCTCAATGACTAAGATAGACTGTGGGGTTGACTTGCAACCGCTGCAAATTGAAGCAAGAGATAGCCCAGCTTATTGCTTAAATATAGAAAAGGAGCCTGATGGGAGACCGTGGTACCATGACATCTTGCAGTATATCAAGACTCGGGAATATCCTCCAGGGGCAACAGAAAAGGAGAACAATTCGGAGGCTATCCATGGGGTTCTTCCGTAGTGGATAAATCCTATCTAAACGAAGTCATGATGGAACACTCCTCAGATGCAGGAAATGCCCACAAGTGCCAAATGAATGCGGATAAGATCAATGCTCCTACAGCTCCCTTGTCCCTTGCAAAATAGGATTGCCCCATGGCCCTTCTCTATGTGGGGAATGGATGGCCCTATCTCCCCCTCCAATGGGCATCGTTTTCTTATTTTTGCCATTTCTTATTTAACGAAATGGGTGGAAGCGGTCTCTTACTCAAGTCTTACTAAGAAGGTGGTGCAGAAGTTCTTGAATAAGGAAAGGATTTGCCGTTATGGCTTGCCAGAAAGGATCATCACGGATAATGCTAATGCTCAAAATTTGAACAGTGCAAGGATATCTTTGCAGGCAGCTGAAGATCCGGCATCCTAATTCTGCACCTTACAGGCCACAACAAATGAATGGGGTAGTTGAGGCAGAAAAGATCAAGAACAAGAATATTCTTTTAGAAATAGCAATTACATACAGGGACTGGCATGAAATGCTCCCATTCGCTCTCCATGCTTATCGTACGTCAGTAAGAACTTCAACCGGGGCAACCCCGTACTCAATAATGTATGGAATGGAGGCGGTCTTACCATTAGAAATGAAATACCTTTTCTAAGAGTCCTCATGGAGACGGAGTTAGAATAAGCCAATGGGCAAAATCACGATATGAGCAGTTGTGAGGAAAAGAGATTAGCTGCGATGCGATATGTCATGGCCAACTTTACCAGAGAAGGATGGCTCAAGCCTATAAATAATGAAATATTAAATAAATAATCAAAATAAAAAGGGTTCGCCCCCGGGAATTTCAGCCAGGAGACCTCATATTGAAGAAAGTACTGCCAACCCAGGAAGATGTCAGGGGCAAAGGGGCACCTTAGTCTGAAGGGCCTTATGTAGTAAAGAGAACCTACATGAAGGCCTTCCCCTGCTCCCCATCGATCGAGGGCTTCTCTTTTTATATTCTATTGACTATTTCAAGTTAAAGGAACTACGGTCGATCTTCGATCAATCGCTAATGTATAACCTTAGAAAGGCTTTCATTGGAACTTCCTTTCCCGATCAATCAATAGGCTGTTAGGGCTTTAGCCCAGGAACCAGATGCCCATTCAATAGAAGAAATTGTTCGACCTTTCTTTCATTTAGTTTGAACCACTCGACTGAAACTGAAAAGGAAAATGAAAAGGAAACTAGGAGATGACTATGACTCTGAATCGATCCGGCTCTTGGACCCAGGACCAGGTCCGGATATTTTTTTATTTTATTAAATTGTTTAACATGTGTTTCATTCGAAAGGCCAGGAGGATGAACTAGACAAAGTTTCATCGCCCCACGCAGATAGAAGAAAAGATCTTTCCACTAAGAGTTTACTTATCCCGGCTATGATACTGGTAAAGAGTACTTTTTTTCCTCAAAACCGTTATCCAGCAGCTTTTATCCCGGCTCCTTCTCTCTTCAATGCCATCTTCGTATATTCTACTATTGATCGGACTCTAGAGCATCGGAGTCATTCTTCCGTCCTAGGGGATTTTATTCTTCCATTCTAGCATCAATAGCTTCTGATTTAATAGCTGCAGATTCCTTCGCCTATTATTCTACCCTATGAGAAAAGAGAACTGCGGATTCGATTGCAAACATACTAGCGAATTCTTTCAAAATGTGAAATGCTGCTCTTTATTAAGGCTATGTCCTCCTAAGGATCCACCACAATAACAATATAGGAAAAAGAATAAGAAAGCTTTTTAGCGTCGCCGGGCTACGGTTTGACTGCCGGTGGAGAGAAGGTCTCCAGCAGGGAACGATTCTAATTATCGATCTTACTCAATGCATGAGAGTCATCTTTTTCATGGATTTTTACAAGGGCGAACTCCACTTTGTCGAGATGGTTCTTACCAACCCAGCGATTTCTAGAGAAAGCATATTTAGAGTTCTCACTGCGCCCCACGAGGATGAGGATTCTCCCATGTGAGCTGATGATTCAGTGTCTTCCTGTATAGAATCTTTCTCTCTTTTTCGTGCAGACTTGCACTTTTGAGCATAGCTTTCTTCTATTTTATTGCAGATTCAGATTCAAATCTGGCTCCAAGCCAAGAGGGACTGAGTAGCCAAACAAACTTAAGGAAAAGAGACGATAAAAGCGAAGGCGGGTAAAACGAGGATAAATAATAAAGAAAGCATGGATGTAAATAAAGAGTCCGCACCCGATGAAGTGACTTCTCGGGCTGCCTACGTACCTCCCCCGCCAAGCCGCCCCTTACAGTTCTCCTTACGAAAATTCGAATCAGTTATGCTTTCAGGTATGAATTCGCATCATTTTCCCCCTTTCCTATTCACTCAACATCTCTGCGCCCGAAGGTCTATATCAATTCTTTTTGGTTTACATTTACAGTAGTACAACTAAAAAAAGTTTACATTATGCTACTCGACTGTCCCTTGCAAATCATTAAGTTCTCTTTCCTTTACTTTCACTTTCCATTTTAATTACATGTAGCTATTTTCTCATTCTATTTGTTCCTATAAAGAATTAGAATTCCCCTATACTATATAGGATTCGAGTTCTTTTCTATGCTGTCTTTGTCTAACCTTCGTGGTTCTTTTTAAACTTCCTTTCGTCTCGCATAATTAACTTGAGACTTGACTTTCTGTAATAGGCAGTGAACCAATAGCGAGTTTGCTGCTAACCTTAACCTAACGCATATAAAAAAAAGCCCGGTCCATGAAGAAAAAAGAAAGGCTATTTTCCTGACTTCCATAGGGAGGAAGCAAGTCTAGAGAGAAGCAGAAAATAACATAAATTAAGGTATAGAGAACCATACCTTGCTCAGAGAGAGGCAAAGAGAAAGCAAGATAGCGGGTCACTCTTGAGTCTTAGATCCATTCGCGTCCAGAGGCAGAGAAAAAAAGCCAACGATCTTTGCTTGACAGTCGAGTCGGACTAGCTCTTTTCGAACAAATAAGAAACTGGCTAAGATTCAATTGACCTAGATAGCCACCAGTTCCACTAAAGGAAGTCGCTGACGGGCCGTCTAATTCTAAATGTAACTCTGCTTCAGACCTTACCTTAATACATGGAATGCCGATTCTGATCGTTCCTGGGAAAAGACTTCTAGCTATGATTCTCTCTCTATGTTAACGAATGCTAATCCATTTTCTATCCCTCTGCCCTAGTGTGGTCAGTCTGGTTTGCATTGCTACACGGGCCATGATTCCCATCTCTCAATCAAATGTAAAACTCTTTCTCTGGCATCCCAGCCTATTCTTTCTTCCTAAGGCCAAGCTTCCTCTTCGCGCCCGATTTCGGAGGCTAGGTGTCCATCCACCCGCATTATCCGTAGAAAGACCATCCGAGGAGAGTGCACTACCAACAGCAGCAGGCAGGGAGGTTTTGAACCCCATATGTGAAAGGTGGACAAATCAAACCAAAGAAGAGCTTGATGGCCAGGCTGAACATGTGGACAGTTCATGACAACCCCTCCTATCTCTGAAGGCAGTCGAGGGAAACTAAGATAACCGGAATGATTGGCCTTCACGCCTATCCCATCGATCGGAACTGGCAACAGATCTTTCAGCGGATCCAGCAACGGATGTAGCAGCGGATCAATATTAGCTGTGTTCAACTCCTGCTACTGGGTCAACTCCAAACCAACACTCGGGAATGGAAGCCAAACTACTTCTTCCTTTTCATTGATTGACTAATGCCTCTCGGTTGAAAGAGAATCTTTTACCGCTGGATCAGCTGCAGAAGAATTCTTCCTATTATATAGGTAAGTTGACCATCCTATAATCCCTTCCTATCCCCGAAACACGAGCTATAACTCCGGAAACCCCCTCGAGAGCGAGGACCTCCCTCCCTTCCAGCTCAGCTTCACCGCCTGGGTTCTTAGGGGGGGCTAACTCAATTCTTTCAGATTTCACTGCCTTTAGCAACTTTCTGAATAAAATAAATTAGTGCCTCTAAGCCTAAAGCCTAAAGAAGTCAGAGTTGTTCTTCAGCTTCAGCTTTACTGTTCACTAAAACCTTGTTAATCATCCTTCTTCGTGAGTTCATATGAAACTGGTGACTATGCCCTTTCCTTCTGCCTTTGCTACCGAAGCCTTCTAAAGAATTTCATCCTTAAGCTGGATAGCCTTTAGGCTTAGTTAGTGTTGAGTAATCCCCCCTTAAGCTAAGCAAAGGAGTCAAGATCATAAGTTATAGATCCAGATTATGCTCTAAGAGATTGAAGCTTGACCGATGGGCACTGACAGATCTGATTCATCCTAGCAGTTAGCTTGTTTGGTTTTCTCCACTTAGAGAGAACAGAACCTCATAGCTTTTAGAAGCATAGTGCCTCATACCAGCGGCGTTAGCCGGCAAGCAGCCAACATTAAGTGAAGGGGAAGCTTTGCGGCGTCAGCAGAGAAAAAAAAACACATCTGTAGAGATGAATTCAAGCAAGACCCGTGTCAGCTCCGTTTCTTATTCTAGGATTCTATAGTCGCTAGGCGTTCTAGGCCGAATCTGATGTTATGAAAAGGGCATGCTCAAGCC